AGGATGGACAGGACAGTAGAGTAAATGATAAATGTCACATATCCAATCATTTTGGGTTTGGAGCTGGTACCAGAATAGATACATCCGTCACAGTCATCACAGACATCACATATGTTGGTGTTTTGTAATGTTTCTGAGGAATACATTTGGGCCACGTTTTTCTCTGTAAAATAAAAAAAAAATGCTATTATTACCAGACCACTTTTTCTATGATTATATCTTGTTATGATAAGATTGTGATGACACAAACCCTGATGGGTCAACCAGTCAATCTATGGGTTCCAAATGTTTCAATTAAAGAACTGAAGATATAATTAGAAAATGAACTAATCTGAGAGTGGGCTACCTGTAGTACCTATATGTGTAATATTGTTTTCAACAAGAAGTCGAAAATATCAATTTTCACCAAAAACGACAAAAATATTCATCAAAATTAGAGAATTGAAGAAGTCATCACGAAATGAACAAATCTAAGAGAGGTCTGCGAAAGGTACACATACACCAAGTATCAAAGTAATAAGATGGATGCCGGACGACGACGGACAATCACTCATATGATGAGCTCCGCTTGACAAGGTCTACAGCGGAGCTAAAAAGTTGAGTACACCACAAAATGGCCGACATAATAATATAACATGGAACTTAGGTTGAGTGTTAAATCAAATGTCTAATGGAGCTGCATAGTTTCAGGGCTCTGCAATGTAGCAGGGATATAAACAGTGCTGCTTACCAGGCTTATAATAATCAAAGATCTCTACAGCAGCTGGTTGACTGTTAGCAAAGCTTCACTTCGGCTCATTCCAACAGTCACGCAAGTCTGAGTCTTGTTGAGAATCTAGTGATATAACCAAGAAATGAAGGGGTAATAGATATGATTAGATGATGCTCAAAGTTATTTTATGTATAATCCATTATATCACTTCCACTGACATGTCAACGAGTTTTTGATAAACTTGAAATGATGTATACTTGTGTATAAATTATTTATTTTCAGCCTACATTTACCTCATCAAAGTAGAAAACAACCTTGGAGCCATCTGCATCAAATCTTTTTAATCCAGGGGTAACACCAACCATATTTAGCAGATCATCCTCCTTAGCAAAAAATCCTGATGGTAAGCCCACCTGCATCACGGACATACCACTCGAGCCTTCACCCAAATAACTAGTGCAACAAAATAAAACAAAATCAGTATCAACATGAAATGGGTTTTAACTAACAGATAACGGAATGTAGTCAACCTAAACTATCCACATAGGTTTTGCAAACTTTAGTTTGTTTTCTAGTCGTTTATAGTGTTTTTTTAACTGACAAATTGGTCTTTTTCAGTGTAGAGTTGTGAAACTCTGGTAACAGAAATTAGTATTACACAGAATTGAAAGTAAAACTGTTCGTTTTCTTAAAAGTCATGGAATAAATGAGGACATACAATACTGCCAATACATATGACGAAATGTCATTGTATTACTGAGATCCATTAATTAGAAAAACTTTTTTACTTTGAATAGGTAAATTAGTAACAAGATATGGACAATTTGGTTTACTTTTTTACTTATTTGATATGTTTAATATTTTGCTATAGAAAATGTTCACAATATATGAAAATGTATGAAGATATAGGCTAAAGAAGCTAAACAATACATACAGCAAACCCGAAAATATGCAGAGTCATTAATCTCAGAATGTAATTCAAACAGACATACCTTCCACATGCTGCAAGTGAGATTCTGTTCTGGTCTATGTCAGATACAACCACGACAAGATTGAAAGCATCATCCCCTCCAGGTTCTTGCATGTTGTAGTCCACTTTTAATGATACCATGGCAACACCTGATCCAATACCTCTGACTATTACATCACCACTAATGTCCTTCAGCTATAAAAGATAAAGCGACTTCCAATGATTAAAACAAAGCAATCATACAACCTTATTGAAGAAAAGTTGAGAACAATTACAACAAGACGTAAAAGCCTTTTGTATTTAAAGACCCACGTGTTCAGCGTGGGTACCATGTGACATATGCAACAAGTGTAAAATATATTCATTACTTTGTTTACAAAACTAAATGTTGTTCAATAAAAGGAACATGTAATATAATTTTAATCCATACCAAATTATGGCAACTTTGAGTGGCAAAAAATGTCACAATTTA